ACTCAAGGGGCCAAAGAGCCGCATGTGGCTCGCAAGCCGCAGTTTGCCGACCATGGTCCTAGATCAGCCGTGGGCAAACTACGGCCCGCGGGCGGAATCCGGCCCGTTTGAAATGAATAAAACTAAAAAAAAAAAAAAGACCGTACCCTTTTATGTAATGATGTTTACTTTGAATTTATATTAGTTCACACAAACACTCCATCCATGCTTTTGTTTCGGCCCTCCAGTCCAGTTTAAGAACCCATTGTGGCCCTCGAGTCAAAAAGTTTGCCCACCCCTGGGCTAGATCATATTCTGGTGGTCCTTACACGCACCATATACTGAATAAATGTAGGGTATTTCAATGCATTTTCATAGTGGTTGTTTTTATAGCAACACGTTTTCATTTATTTGTTAGATGCTTAAAGGTCAGTGTGTGTAAATGTTCCTCCTCCTACTCAAGCTCTCTCTTAATGCTAAATCAATGAATCTGTTGTCCCAGACACCAGCAAAGGAAACAGTTTATTTTGGCATCCTCTCTCGAATTTCTTCATGATCACGGTACATGAATACAGGTCAACAGGTCAACTGATGTTTTTAACTTTAGTGCTTTGAAATGTATCTACATAAAATATAATTTCAAATATGCATATATAGATAAAATATCAATGGGAAAAATGTTCACAGCAATTACCTCTGTGTGATAGGATTAGGGGCTGTAAAGGTGGGTTTGTTTGTTTGTTTTTTATTTGGCTCCAAATTTTCCTACAGTGAAAATGTTTAATCAGAATATAAAACAGATATTCTCTTTGAAAATAGTTTTTTTCTAGATGTAAAATTATGTTGCATATAATATACACAAAGGTTCATTTTCTTTCCTGTCCTGGAGTGACAGACCATGTTTCATTCACCTTGGTATCCACCCCCACCAGCTATTCCATGGGATTCATCCAAAGACTTGCACATAGCCCTATCTGGTTTGGCTCAGTGGATAGAGCATTGGCCTGTGGACTGAGGAGTCGCAGGTTCGATTCCTGTCAAGGGCACATGCCCAGGTTGGGGGCTCGATCCCAGTAGGAGGCCTGCAGGAGGCAGCCAATCAATGATTCTTATCATTGATGTTTCTCTCTATCTCCCTCTCCCTTCCTCTCTGAAATCAATAAAAATATATTTAAAAAAAAGACTTGCACATAGTAGGTGTTCAATCAATAGATATTGATTTAATTTTTTATATTGAAATTAGTCATTTTAGGTAAGCTTCAATAAAACATTTATTTAAAAAAACCTGGTCAGCGGTCATTCTTTCTAAAATATAATTTCTCAGGATTTAGTCCTTGTAGCAGAGGGGGCTAACCATCCTTCTATCAAAAAAAATTTGTACTCTCCTTCCATGATGTACACTTTTGGGGAAGAGGGATTGGCCGAAAGGAACCTCCCCACTTCCTGCATCTCTATACGGCCATAGGCCTAAGTTTTGGTCAATAGAAGGTGGACTAAAGTGCTGCGTGCTGTGTGCACGCAGACAGGGCTCATGAAGCTGCCCATCCAATTTTCCTGGCTCTCTCTCCTTCCTCACCTGGCCACTGGTAGAGCCTCCATCAGCCTGGGACCCCCAGCAATGATTAATTTTATGTGAATGAGAAA